CATTGTTGTAGAAAATGTTGGGATTTCTCTTAGATAAACTTGAACACTAGAAAATAACGAATGAAGGGCTTGAGGCTAAGTGAATGTCATGGCGTTCATAGATGTACATTAGACCGTACCAGAAAAAAAGTTCGCCGTACACCCTTAAGTTTAAAGAATGTTTGCAAGGCAATTTTGAAAACAATACTTGTGTTTTGTTCGGACGTAGGGGTATTATTTTTACATTTTACATTGGAACATTTTTTTGTTCCAAAATTCATTACCCCGTCTTAGTTCCACCCCAATATCAGGAAATTAAAGCTCGCCAAAAATTATTAAACTTTTGCTAAGGAAGTATTTCGATTATGCCAGTAGAACTATTTTACAAACAAATTTTATTGCCGAATATTCTTAGGCACATACCAGTGGAAAATATAAAAAGGCACACCCTAGGTTCCACCAAAAAAAAAATGCACGGCGAACTTTTTTTATTCTGCCTTATCCTGAGTTTCGCCTGAAAAAAAAATTCATCCGAAAATTTGTCATTCGCCTATAGTAAAACCATGGAAACCAAAAGTGAAAAGTGAACCGGTTCGGGGAAAATGAAACTCATGATAAGGCTGACTTGCTTGTAAAGTGGAATGGTTTAATGCACATACATATGTATTAGGGTGTTTAATTTTTAGGCGATAAATTTTTTTCTCTTCATATAATGTTAACTTAATTTCCAATGTAAGAATAATAAATATCGTCTTAAAACACGTTTAATGTAAGTTATTATTAACATTTATCTTTCCAGCTCTATAGCTCAACAACTTTTTTCTGTAGCAAATTTCATGCCCTACAAAACCTGTACAGTCTTTTTCACAAAAACCCCGGATTCGGATATCCGGTAGACTGCTGCCCTTAATACATAAATTTCGCAATAGTGTTATTAGGTTTTTTGTTTAGCGGCATACTTATAACCAGATTATCTGCTTTTTCGAGCTGAACTAACCAATACTTAGTTACACTGCAATACAAAATGTCTCCCCTGAAGTCTGAAGTTATAAAATGATCCTGTAATAAAAATATAACTTCTCCGTCTGCAACCCTGCTTTATTGAACATTTTTGGTAAATAGAGGAGAAACGTTCGACGTTGGAACAAATCAGAGGGATTTGAAAACTTTCAAACTTTTCTGATTTGTTCGACCGTTAGTGGCGCAGTTCGCGATGTCGTCATATCAGGGTATTTTGAACCATTGAAGTGATCACATCGCGGGAAATTGCAAGTAAAATTAAAAAATATAAAGATAGGAATAGGGAAACTAGAATCATGGAAAAAACCACTGGACAAGTAGAGGGAAGTAGACAAAACTGCCACGATAGAAACTACCGGCGGAAATTTCAGAATTCGGTATCACTACTGAGTACTCATTCTGGCATCGAGCTCATAGAATCGATACTCCTAAAGTATCAGGGAAAAAGTATCGATACTACTCAGTATCTTACTCATTAAAATAAGTTTTTAGGGATACTAAAATTATTTTATTCTTCAATCGTACATATATCTAGAAATTTCCTGAAATTAAAACAATAGAAATTTAAAATATTTGATTTTATTTCATTGCAGATCTTACTTTCACGTTAGAAGTAATTTTAACGCTAAATGTATGTACATACATACATAAAATACCTACATATATATAAACTTCCACGAATTTCGAATATTATTAAGAATTTTTGTAATATTTTTGGGTATGCATTTTTGTAGCCTATTCAATTTTAGTATAATAATATGCAAGTTTGAATTAAAAGTCAACGGTAGTAGGCTACAAATAAAGTTAAATAATTTAAAAAGTGTGTTTTTTAAAAAGTATTCAATACTACGAGTACTTTGCAAAGTATCGAGTAAAATCACCAAATAAGTTATCGACTATTAAAGTACTCATTTTTATACCCTCAGTATCGATGCTTACGCAATATCGATAGTATCGTTCGAACCCTAGCCGCCTCGCACTCGCTAAGCAGGTGCGAAGTAGTCTCCTCAGTCACCTCGCAGAAACGACATAGTTCGTTCGACCAGCGGCCTATATCATAAACGTGACAGGTGCGACAATTGTCGATTTTTCTATAAAATTTCAGAGCAAGAATTGTTTTCGACATTTTTTCTGTTTCAAATACGCTTGTAGGTAACTGAATTTTTTTTAGAAGGCGACAGTGACAATACTGGAATATTGTCGATAATGGTGCTGACAATTGTCACTCTGACAAAAATGTCACGACATTAGCGACAAAACTAAATACCTTCGTTGGAGGAGAATTTTGTAAATTTGTTTATATGGTTATTGCGCACATTTCATTAGATTTCATTAATTTTAGTATTACATATGAATTACATAAAAATGTCTTATGACTGGCGACAATTTTGTCAATGGCGATTTTAAAACCCGACAATGAAAATTTGTCACTTTTTGAATGGAATTGAAGCGGTGGTGACAATTACTTTTATGAAACAAAACCACCACCAATCTGTCGGATTGTCACTGACAATACGAAAAATGCCTGTCGTTACAAAATTATCACTGTCGCTTTATGAAATAGGCCCCAGATCCCTAGCTTGTGAAGGTGACCTATTATTCTGCAGTGACCCGTCAGAACACCTGTTAATATCCTTACCTTCTCTTTGGGGAGGTTTATTATTGCCCTGTATCTTGTAAGGTTGTAGCCTTCTAGTAGGCATTTAGCCTTGCCTAGACCTGCAGTGTTACACCAGTGTTGGTTTCTTAGCCTGTTCCTCTCCTTCCTGAGCTCTTTCTTGATTGTGCTAGGTCCGATTGCAAGGAAGGGCTCAAGTACTATACGTGACGAGGCAGCTGCCATTCTGGCTAGCGGGACCGCTTCCTCGTTGCCAGAAAGTCCTATGTCTCCTGGGCCCAAGTTAATTGGATGTCATTGTACATAGGATGTTATCAATGCACTCAAGAGCCAAGGAGGACTTTAACTCAAATACTGAGAGGGCATTGAGTGCCGCCTGGCTATCGGTCAATATTAAAATTTGCCCATTACGGTAATTTGTACGTAGGTTAATCTCTGCACACAGACTTATCGCATAGACCTCCCTTGAAAGATGATCGGGTATACTCCCATGGATTCCAAGACCTCTACACTTGGTCCGTAGATGCCTGCCCCAATGCCGTCGGGCGTTTTGGAGCCGTCTGTATACCATTGCAGCGAGCTCGCTTGTATGTGACTCTCCGAAAGAGAGGTGTTCCAAGTAGTTTTACAGCAAAGCTATATTTTAAATTTCCTGTCAAAATCAACTGACCTGGACCTATCACCTCTGCGTAGTGAAGATATTAAGCATTATTACAGAGAATTTAACTTAATAAACTTATGTTCAAGTATTATAAAATAGTTCACAAAAGACTTGAAAAATTGGCTTATTAAATATATCACAAGTATTTGAACAATGCAATATATCATATGTACATATATTGCACTGTACAAATACTTGTAATATATTTAATAAGCCAATAATAAAAAAAAATATTTTTTTTTTTTTTTTAATTTTGGTACTCGTCTTCGTAAGCAAAAAAAGAACTAAGTGGCAACTGTGGCTTCAGCGCCTGAGTCAGCATACAGTTGTCCACAAAATAATAGGAGTGCGATATTTTGACCAGTTTTGGCTATTTGTCTTTTGTTTATTTAATGTTTATTATTTTTTTATAAAAGCCTAGCTGGCTATACAACAAACACCATATAAATTCAGATTTTAAACTTTGTATAAAAATTATAAAAATTTTGCAATTTTTCACCCAAATTTCAAACTTTTTAATCAGAATCTTTAGAAAAAATTCTGGTATGCAGTTTTGTAGCACATTCAATTCTAGTCTGAAGAAGTGCAAGTTTCAAGCGGCTAAAAAATTCCGTTGATTTTTGGCAATTTTTTTGCTGGCAGTGTTCTCCATATAAAAGAAAATTGTCGACATACTTTGTATGGAAAAAACGTGAAACACCTTTAACCAAAAAAATTCTCAAAAATCAACGGAATTTTTTAGCCGCTTGAAACTTGCACTTCTTCAGACTAGAATTGAATGTGCTACAAAACTGCGTACCAGAATTTTTTCTAAAGATTCTGATTAAAAAGTTTGAAATTTGGGTGAAAAATTGCAAAATTTTTATAATTTTTATACAAAGTTTAAAATCTGAATTTATATGGTGTTTGTTGTATAGCCAGCTAGGCTTTTATAAAAAAATAATAAACATTAAATAAACAAAAGACAAATAGCCAAAACTGGTCAAAATATCGCACTCCTATTATTTTGTGGACAACTGTACAATCAACCAACTAACCAAACAACAAGCAATCCTACTAGCCAACCAACCAAGCAACAACATATTCAACATCAGCAATGACCTTCAGTAGAGTGTGTGCATCTCACGACAGGCTTTTGCCGCCCAGCAACTGCTACCGCACAAACTATGCAATTTTCTATGCAATCGAGAGATATCCACACTCTAAAATTGCTCTATTTGTTTTTGTTAATTCACTTTTATTCTTCTTCCGTATGTTATGTTTTGCGCATTTTAACCCCACTCATTCACGTGCTCATTTAACAGATTGGGTGGTTTGGTTGCTTGGCCACAGACAAGCTACGTACATACATATATATCTATGTATGTACATATATGTATGTACTCATACCCAGTAGGACTAGGTTGCTTGCAAAATGTATTTATAGCGCGGTTATTTTACCACTCAGAAGTAGTTCCAAAAACATGAAGTCTTTAATTCACTTCTATACTTGTGAAAAAAGAATGCGATTACTTTTCCACGCAGATACCTATTTACTAACTTTTCATACAGAAATTAAATGTACTTCAAATTTCCTTGAAGAAATTAACATCATGTCGGGACCACATACATTCTGCACTGCCCGACTGAGTATGTTTGTATGTATATATGTTAATATGTATCCACAGACACGCACTTTATAAAAGTTTGCTGCATACTTTAATAGTATTTTAATAAACTCACTTTATTTCAAAACCCGCGTTACTTGCACTTTTCTAAATTACTATTTGTGTTTATAAACTTTCAATTTGTTCACATGAATTATTAATTTTTATAAGTAAGCAGAAAAACTTTAATCAAATGAACACGTTTCCGCAGACACCGAAGCACGCTTTTCTGTTGCTGGCATTACTCTGCCGTACCAGAGAATTTTTCTTGCTATTCTCTGCTGTTACTGGCACTCTTCAGCGCCGTCTGCTGAGTATGGCGGCGACGAATTAACAGCGGAAACGAATAGAGCCAAAAATGTTAAAGAAAATGTTCAACGAATCGAGGGAATACAAGAATTTCGGTTATTTTTGAGAGTTTTTTGTTGTCGTATTTGAAGTGCATTTTATTTATTATCTTGTAAAAGGGCTTAAAAAATTTGAATCGATGATAAGTAACTCAAGTACAGGGTTGCCATTTTGGTAAATTATTACCAAAATTGGTAGAAAAAATTTACGTTGGTAAAAAGGTAAACTTTTTCTCATTTTGGTAGATCTTTGTAAAAGTATTTTGTTTGAAAAACAAAACTGAAATTTTGTTCCCGCTTTATTTTTCATAGTTATAGTACTATACTTTATGTATATTATAAATTTATTTCCAAAAGTGTAGTCTTCTTTATTGCATTAATGCTTTAGTGCATACTTTTTATATACATACATAAGCGAACATATCGTTCTACATTCAAAACTCATTTTACTGGAATCTTGAGGAATTGTCTAAATATTTTAAATGTTTCTTCAAAAAAAAAAAAATGGACAGGTTTATTTTACATGCTATAGTTCTACAAGAAAAATATTAAAAAAAAATCATCGCCAGTTCTTAAAAATGTCTATTAATAAATTAACAAAAAATTCAAAAGACCGGTGGCATATATATTTTTTTAATCAACGTAAATTTTTAGCTGCACATTGTTGGTTACACTAAAATTCAAAACTGCACACCGAAAATGGTTCAAAAGATTCAGAGTAAAAAGTTCAAAATTTGGACGAAATGCTTTTGAATTTTTCTAAATGTTGTAAATAGCTTGAGTTCTTGATTTGTACGGGTTTGGTTAAAGCGCAAACAATATTCATATAAAAAAAATGGTAAGAAATGATTACTTAAAAAACATTGTGAATATTAATAAAAATACCAAGCCATTTTTTGAGTCACTGTATTAGCTTATACTATGTAACTCCAATTGAAGTTTTTTAAAGATGAAGTTTAGTTGTTGCCTTTCGTTTCATCACTTTCGCTTTTGGTTTTTATTAAAGTAACTAAAAAAAGTTATTGGTAGATATTTTCCAGATTTGGTAGCTTTTTTCCAAGTGGATGGTAAATCTTTTTTTCGTCAGTGGCAACACTGCTCAAGTACCTATATATCGTTACCTATAGAAAGGCCCCATGATTCAATAATACAAGGTTGGATAATTATTGACAGCTGCGGTTTGACACTCCCTTACAAAAGGTTGCATTTACGAAGGACGGAGAAAGGGCAAGAATGCAATCCCTTGTTGCGAAAATGGTAGTAGAAAAGTACGCAAAGTAGGCAATTAGTAGTGAAATTCCCTTTGTAAATTCTAATGTATTTGCAGGAAATCTGGACTTTTAAACGAAATGTTGAACGTAATATTGATATATCTACGTGAATTACGTAATTTATGTGCTATTTAGCTGTACAAAAACTACAAAATGACTCAAAATTAAAATAGGACTACTATGAGATTGATGTAAACATCCAATGCTTATGTTTTCATCAGTTAAATATGCTTCATATGCATATACAAATAAACATATTGCACAAAAGCTTATACTTTTATTCCACACCAAAGCTACACTGTTTCCATGTAAATTTGCAAAGAAGCAACACGGTGCCACTGCTAAGGGAGCGGTGCGAGAGAGACAACTGTCAGTTTATCGAACCTTGTATTATTGAATCATGGAAAGGCCCTATCTCACATTGTCGCTAAAATGCAAAACAGCCATAAGTAACTAAAAATTGTATTTGCATAAAACGATGTGGGGACTTATAATTCGATTAAACTCTTCATAACCAATCAAAAAGTGAATTTCTAGTTGGCTTCGGCTTTGTGTATTTCAGCGACAATGGGCCTTTCTATATAAAGAATATGCACACTTCACAATTTTTGTATCATAAAGCACTTTTAACATAGGAGCCCAGCCCCATGTTTATATATATGTAATTATGTATTTATATTTTTATGCAATACGGGCGGGAAAAGATAATGTTTTGTTCTTCTTCGCTAAAACTATGTTTATTTTAAATTATATACTGTAGACGTTTCATGCGAAACTTACTATGTATGTACATTAGGGTGGTCATTAAATGTATGACACACTTTTTTCGCTCCTAAATACGCTCCAAAAACATTCCTAACAAGCACAAATAGTAGTCGCCTGTATACACACTTTGTAGCAACTGCAGGTGTCAGTTGAAAGTTGCCAGTTGCCATCTGTAATATCGTTTTGGCAACTAGCAACACAACTGAATTCCGATTGCTATCGATAATCGACCCATTATACGTGATATCTATGACCGTGGTATTACCGATTGAGGGGTGAGACTGAAAAAGTTGTTAATTTGATTTATTTAATAACCACCCTAATGTACATACATAAGCATAACACCGATTTAATGTGATACTATTTATCAGAGCACATGCTAAATATTCTCTCTTTATTAAAAACACCGTGCCATCGAAAATGTATAGAAAAGGGCAGGTGCCCTATTCTTGTTTGTGGATCCTAACAGAAAATAACAATGTTAATAACAGTACCGGTTGCTTGGGTATTGTGAACAGTGCTGTTCAATGTCGCCATTTTGATGCTTTTGAAACTACATAGTAGATTTGTTCCTGTTCTGGCTTGCTCTGCGAGGTAGAGCTGCAAAAATATCAATGGTCCATTGATAGTTTTGGGCCTCACCATTGGATAGTATCGATACTCTCGGTAAGTGATGAATAATCTTAAGAGAATAAAATATGATATGCTTACTACGGCACAGTCTAGCGGCACTGAAATCAAAAGGTACTAAAATAGTGAAATCGGGTATGGAAATGTCGCACCACGCTGGCGTTACTGTTCAGATGATGCGGCTCAGAGATGCCAATAGAAAAAGCGGATAGCTCCGTGCTACCACCGTTTAGTGATGACGTTAGGAAGATTGATGAATACACAGTGGCTGCGACTAATGACTTGTTGAACAAAACGGAAGAATGTGAGATCTCAAGAATATTATGGCTGCGGCTTAGTAGTAAAAAGACAAAGGGCATACTGAAACTAAATAAATAAATCTGCAGTAAGAGTTCTTACCGGCGTCATCATAAAACACTGCTCTAACCGTGGCGAATACCAACAATTACTTTCTGCAGAGGCTGCCATGATGAGGACGATGTCCAGGCCTACAGACGAAGTGTCTCAAGCAATTGGGTTCACGCTGCTTCAACAGTCTGGGCGTGAGATAGCGAAGGTGGAACTGTTGGATCTTCTCGGTTTCATTAAGGATAGTAAATAATTGGTTCAGTAGTATAAAGATTTGAATCTATTCTTTCGTACGTGTCTCCTTCTGACAACCGCTTAAAGATGGAACTCACAATGGACAGTTCTACCTCCGAGTAAGAGAATGGAATATTCCAAACACACACCCTTCTCACCTAACCTTACCTACTACGGCTTTAATCATACTAAATATGGTTGACATGAATTCTGGTATTACACACCATTTGACAATATAAAAAAGCATACAGTACTATAGCCCTACAGTACTTAGCAGCCGCCCTTTTCTCAGGCTACCGTTATTTATATAGGTACTAAGTATACATACATATATGAATTTACTTTTTTCCGAAATTTATCGAAAGATATCATCGATAAAATAACGCCGATCCCTGCATTGCTTACGGCTCACATTTGTCCTTTTATACCAGGCATGCCTAGCGCGGGAAAGATTTGTGCACTTGCCTATGGAGTTCTGCCAGCGCTGGGCATGGGATGGTCAGAAGAATCTCTGATGACAACACCAGCCAATTTGAACAGCTGTTATCTATTGTGCAAGTAAGCAAAGAAACTCCGCGATTTTGGCGTTTGGCTGGATCTTCGATTGGATTGAAAATTTTTTCTTTTAATTTATTGCATTTATGCCTTTTATTTTCCCATTTTCTTTTGTTTAATTTTTGTTCATATTACTTATTTTATCTATACATTGTATAAAGGAAAACCGAGATTCTTTGAACAAACTAATTTCGAAAACTACTGAACAAATTTGGACGATATTTTAACTAATATATTCTGTTTGGATTCAAGATTGCGCATTCCCGACGGCGATGTCATTTCTGGTGTAAAAGTAAACAAAGTCGAATAGGAGGATAAAAGATAATGGCAGAGAAGACAATTACCTAAATATTCCATTTTTCGATGTTTTGATCGCTTTAAGTTGTGAAAATATGTATGTATATGATTTGTAATAAAAATTAAAAAAGAAAATGTGAAAAAACTGAGATTTTAGTGAACGTATTAGTGGATTTCAGAGCATTTAATGGTTTAGGGCCGTCGTTTGCTTTTACACGAGAAACGTCAAAATCGGCAAAACCAAAGTGGCGGCTTGCGGAATGCGTCACCTTCTGTTCGCTACAGCGTGTTCTGTATTAATAGGAGAGTGACCTATGGTATTTAGAATTTCTATAGGGTTGCCACCAGTCGAAAAAATTATAAGATTCGCATGACCCCTAGAAAGCATTAATGTTTTTTGTTTGAGTATACAAATATATAAAATTTTAATAAGCAATGGCATGAGTTCTGCACATTCACTACCAAGTGAAAAGACTTAGGTGCCAAGTGAAAATATATGGTCTCCGGATGTCCAATAAGCTTTTTTTAGTGGGATTGCTACCTGTTTTAAATTTACTAGCTTACATTATAATACGTGAAGTAATTTTTTTTTAATTACATCAGATTTCCAAAGTTCATTCAATTAAAAAAAATGAGATCTGAAAGGAAAGAGCTCAATAAGGTTTTATTTTTTCGAAGAGGGTTGCCACCTGTGAAAAAATTTATAAGATGTGGGCTGTTCGTTGGAAACGAAAACTGACATATCAAAGGAAAGTGGTACGCCTCTAGGTGTTCAGCACTGAGTTATTTTTTTTATTATAAGATATTCACCGTTCGTTGGACTAAAAAATAAGTTACGAAATGAAAGCATATGGTATCCAGGTGTGCAATAAGCGTTTATCTTTTAGTGGGGTTGCCACCTTTATAAAAATTACTACCCTACTTCTAGTATAATGTGAATGTGCAATAAAGTTTTATTTTTTCGAAGAGGATTGCCACCTGTACGAAAGATAATAAGTTGTGGGATGTTCGATGGACTTAAAAGTGAGTTGTCAAATGAAAGGAC